CAACTATTTCTATAAATAATAATTAATAATAATATAAAATTTTATTTAAAGGCGCTCTCTGGGCACTCGAGGACACCGTACAACACAAAAAAATTAATAACAGAAGAAAAAAGATTTAACTCAAATGATTTAAAGTTTTTCCAAAATAAGAATAAATGATGTCAAAAAGATTTAAAAGTCTGAAAAATTTTTTAGTTTATATCAAAACTTAAATGGTTTAGACAGTTTGCTTGGAAATATACGTTTTCCAGTTCTTCTTTTTACAGTTTGCCTGTGACAGTATGATTGACTGAGGAGGAGCAGTAAAAAGAGGAAACAGTTTTGAAGTGAAGTTGAAGAGTGTGAAAACCTATTAACAGAATTCTTTAAACGTTTTTCACTTAACTTTGAAATCATTAAATAATAGCTTAAATTAAATATTTCCACATATTTTTTGGAGAGGCCCTTGGAATCTCTTCGAGGGCCCCTGGGTCCCCGACCCCAGGTTGAGAAACACTACTTACTTCTTTCAGTGAAAAAACAGAATTATAGTAGTATGGAATTACACAAAAATGTCCCATTAATCCACTTTAAATAGCTTTCAAATCATTGTACCCAGAACAAGATCAGCTTTGGCCTCAGTGTCTCAAGGTGTCCTGAACAATAAGACAACTTACACACAGAATACAGGGCTATATTGAGCCAAGACTTCCCCCTCACACACACACACACACTGTGAAACCCTTATCTAGGTATCTAAGGTAAATGGAATAGCGCCTTTCTAGTCTTCCGACCACTCAAAGACTTTTACACTACGTGCCACATTCACCTTTCACACACATTCACCATTTGATGGCAAAGTCCATCGACACACCGATGCACAGCATTTGGGAGCAATTTGGGGTTCAGTATCTTGCTCTAAGGATACTCGACACATGGCAGGAGGAGCCGGGGATTGAACCAACGACCTTTTCTGATTAGGGGAACGACCCGCTCTGCCACTTAGCCACAGCAGTAGGGTGGGTGTCCCTTCCTTCACCTCAGGCATACTTGTAGCTGCTCTCTTAATGTGACATTTAAACTATAGATATATATAACACAACATCCTACATGACATATTGGACTTGGCAACATGGGCACTATAATGTTCACATTCTCAATGATTTATTTTTATATTATAGGTTATGAATAGATGAATAGAATTACTCCCTGTATTCATAAAATCACTGTTACAAATTAAATATTTTGAAGTAACACAAGCTCAAATTCTTGATTAAGCAGATTTTTTACTTGTAATTTGAAGCAAGAGATGAACCCCAAATTGCTCCTGATGCATAGCATCGTGTGTGAAATGTGTATTAATGTTAGTTTCTGTTCGAATGGCCATCACTGAGTGAAAGTGTGTGAAAGGGTGAATGTGGCAACGTATTTGTAAAAGCGCTTTGAGTGGTCGGAAAACTAGAAAGACGCTTATACAAGTACAGGTCCATTACCATTCCTGATTTAGGTACTAATGTACTAATGTACTGTGTATTTTGTTTTCACAGTACAAATAAAAAATACAAAATTTGAAGTCAGAGTGTTTAAATTCTAAAGCTACTTTTGAAAAGATTTTTTTTTTCTTACTTACAAAAACTTGAAGTCAGTTTTAAAATGAACTTAAATGAACCCATTTTCTGCAGTGTGACAAAGAAAACAGGATTTCTATAAGTCATTATAATGAGAAACTTTTCTCAATAGTTTTGAATTGATATCTCAAAATAATAATGTTTCTATTTATTTGGACTTAGTATATCACAAGTCATTTTTGAGATACTACATTAAATATTTGAGAAACTTTCTCTCATAATCATATTAATATCCAGTAGCTCAGTCTGTAGGGACTTGGCTTGGGCACCTCCTGTGCACTGCCGAATGTCCCTTTGAGCAAGCCACATAACCCCTAACTGCTCCCTGAACGGTAGCTCATCATTTCCACCATCCCTCCACATTTGAATGTTTATAAGCCCTGTATGTGAATTGATTGTATTTCGGGCATATGGGTGTGTGTTGTGAAAATACAGTGAGAGAAGAATTTCCCCATTCGAATTAATAAGGGATAGTTGTTCTTCTTTATTTACAGGTCAGTCTTGCCCGGTCCAAATTATGGCGGCGACGTTGACATACCTTGCAACAGAACAGAGCTGCAATGCAGCTTCGGTGATTTCCGCTATTTAGGGCTAAACCGCAGTGCAGAGGAGATGAGGGATGATGTCAACGTGCAGCATCTCTGGGGTTTCTACCCAAGCAACGCAGGCAGCAGACAATACAGCAAAGCAGCTGACCTATGAACCCATCTGTTTTATTTTAATGGATAAATGAAGGCTATACTTACATATGTGTTGCGTTATGGTCATCTATCTGCGTTGGCCTGGGTGGCACAACAACAGCTTTATTCCGTGTAATATAAATTAAAAAATGTGTTCTGTTTTGTTTATATATTAACTAGCAACTTCTAACAACGCGGAACAGCTTTGAGTTGCCGCCGCTGTTGCTCCTCAATGCTACAGACAGACAGACAGATTCTACAGCTGCAGTCTTAAGTTTGACATCTTTTACTTTACCGGCAGAGTTGACAAGGACAGGTTGCTTTTCCACACACAGCGTCTGCTGAACAAAGCCGGCTTTCTGGTCGTCACTGCATGGTGGCTTTAAGGTAGATGTAATGTAAGTTACAGTATACAGTTTAGGTCTGTATTGACCAAGCTAAAAGAGAGCAATAGTTTAAAATCTTTTCTTTTAAAATTCTGACATCTAAGCCAGTTCCTGTTCCTGCTTCAAAAAAAATAAAAATGATAAGTGAAGTCGATGTTGCTTTTGTCTATTTATCGTTCCATCGCAGCCAGCTGCATCTTTTGCTCTCTCTCTCTCTCTCTCGCCTGTGCTGCTCTGATGCTGCCTTTAGGTGACAATAGACAACGCAGCATTACCAGAATATAAACCTTTTTGGCTGGGTTTTTTGTTAATATCCTTTAATTTAATTTCTAATTTAAGAATGCGGTTGCTCATATCGGCTAAATATAACAAACTGAGTTTATATTACATTTAGCAATTTTGTAAATAAGTGTTAATATTCGTGGTATGTACAGTGTCATGGTATTATTATTATTATTATTATTATTATTATTATTTAATTTCAGCATCCCATACATGCACATGTATGTACGTTTCTTTACAGAATTCCCAGTTGCCTTGACATCTACCAAATTTTGGGACCAATACAATAAAATGTTCAAGTTCAATAGCATACAATTCTCTATATACATGGAAATGAATCAATACAATTCGTACATTTTGATATTTCAGTTAGTTGACTTTACCCAGAATTCGTGTTTTTTAGAGAAACTGTGGGTTCACAAGTAACTCCTCTGTTATGCGAAAGCTGATGAGTGAGTGTTCCCGTGAATGCTGTGAACACATAAAGCCAGTCGGAGCAATCTTTCCACATGACGTTGCAGTAGCCTTCTTTTACGCATTTTTTTGTCTGACACAAAACCATCACTTGCGCGTCAAAGCACATGTGTACACCGGGCGCGTGGCTGGGATGAACAGGTTTATTCCAGTTTAGAGGAGATTCATTCCAGTAAAGGGACAGCATCCCGTCCCACCCTGCTACAGCGTGGAGGTGTGTGTGTGTGTGTGTGTCCACGCAGCAGGAAAGCACAAGTAGCACTTAAAGGGGTTTAGGTCCCTTTTTTTTTTAGCAAAATATATATTTTTATAAACTTTATCTACTGCAGCTTTAAATTGGCAGAGGCGTCATTAAATTTGGATACAGATATTGAATGATTTCTATGAACACAGGGTTGATTATTCTCCAAAGAAACCACTCAAGGCCTGCATATTAAAAATTAGATTTTTTCAACCCATTTACATTTACCTTTGGAGAACAATGAAGCCAGTAATAGTCTTTCTTTATGGCAGCAGCATAAATATTAGCATATAGTATTAAGCTGATTTTTATTGCAACCTCTCTGCCAGCCTTTTACATAGTACTGTGCTGTGGCTAAATCCTATAGGGATTAGGAAACAGCACTCTCTTATGTTCTTACATAAATTGAATCTGACCAAAAAGGTCCAAGAATGTCATTATTAAATCCCCTGACCCTTTCAAAATAAAATACACAGAATTTTTAGTTTGCACATTTTTAAGAATGTTGATGAACATTATGATGAATTCATCCAGTTAGTGCTGTATAATTTAAAAATGACTCACCTTGTCTCTCAGCTGTGACTGCTCCCTTGAACATAAGGTTGAGTGTTCAGAAGTGACCTGACCTGAATACTTTTCAGTCTAATGCAGGGGTGTGTCCAAGGGGTGGCCAGACAAAGTCCGGCCCTGAAATATGATTGGACCCCCATTAGGCGCCACCTCAAGATGAAGCATCATAATAGGTAAAGGAGTTAGAGATTGTGAAAAAAGGTTAACCTGCATCTCCATCCTTCCTGATGGCTGACAGTTTCTAGAAAAATATTGTAATTTCCAGTATCTACTAATCGATTTGATGGTCAAATCTGAGCATTTTGCCATTTAAATTAAAGTTGTAAGAACACTAACATAGTTATATTAAAACAAAATGGGCAGCTGTTTAATGTGAGATGGTCATAGAGAGCTGTTAAAGCTCCACATCCTTTTGTTATGTATTCTTGATTAAAGCCAATATTCACAAAATCAGTAAAAAAATGTTTAAAAGAATCTCTCCTGGTCTGCAGAAGAGGCTTCACTTGTTTCCTGTTACATACACTTGTTCCACTGTTACATCATGATAGAAGCTGGACTATCAAGACTATTTTTTTAAATGCAAACTTGCTTTTTTCTCCAAACTGAAGATCAAACCAATGAGATGAGTCATGAAGTTTTTAAGTACTATTGGATCTTTCTTGTATTCAGATCACTGGGAAGCTCACTACATCCAAAGGGCCAAAAGGCTGTCCCAGCCCATTGTAAGTATTTGTACACTGTCAAGGTTGGACAGACATTTTTTACAGTGTAGACCAGCAAAGCCGGTGGTACTTTGGCTGTTGAAACCCAAAAAACAGTTTAGAGATTAGGCACTGGCCCCAAACCAGCCCTCCAAATGCTGTGTAGGCCTTTTCCACCAACAGGAAACGTCTAGTGCACCTAGATTAAACTTTTCAGAGCACTTCAACCAAAACTGAATTGGTTCGGAACCTGAAAAGTTGGTTCCCAGCTGGAACCAAAAAATAGCAGGTTTTTCTTGGGACCAAGGTAAGTGTGTCATATTCTACAGGTTGTGCAGCACCCTCTGTTGATGACACATTCTTGATTACAATGGTTCTGCTTAAAACTGGTAGGCAGGCAGGCTGGTTCGCTAGATAGCACCAAAGTTCCAAAAATCGTAAATGGAACCGGTTCAAGAATCACAGCTAATTTGGTGGAAAAGGGGAATATGAACCCAGCACTTGACTCATAGTAGAATATTGTAGCATTCGTTGGTACACAGTGGGCTACCTTGGGGGCGGCTGTGGCTCAGAGGTAGATTGGGTCGTCCACTAATCGGAAGACTGGCAGTTACTCCTCTCGCTGCATGTCGAAGTGTCCTTGAGCAAGATACTGAACCCCAAATTGCTCCAGATAAACCGATGCTGTGCTTAGTTTCCGTTCTGGTGAGCAGTTGGCACCTTGCATGGGAGCCACTGCCATCAGTGTATGAATGTGTGTGAATGGGGTGAGCGTGGCATGTAGTGACTAGAGAGAAAGACTAGAGTGGCGCTATATAAGTACAGTCCATTTACCTTTGAGTTCAAACATAATAAAAGCAACAATAAAAGAACAGTGTGCTGTGCTGCTGTAATGAATAATTACTGAATAGATCACTGTGCACTAACACTATCACTTGTGAATATCTTAGTGGCTGTAAATGTTGTGAAATGTTCAACCTGTGACTGACCTCACTTACATAACCATAAGCATCCATAGTCAGCCATCAAAATCCTCAGTCAGGTGAAAAATGAAATACATAAAATAAAACAAGACACATCCTTTGCTTTGCATAGGTTCGTTCTTACCCCACTCTATGAGTTTATTTCTTTGTTTCTTTCACTTGTTTTGGTCTTGTGCAATTAGCAAAATACTTTCTTTTACAAATGATAATAGGCACAAATAAACATACAGTACATACACACCTTCTGAAATGTGTCCAGGAGGCATACACAGAAATATTCTATACATGTCAATGCAGTATAATACAATACAAAATAAAAATGAAAACAATTCTTTTTAATGGACGTAAACTAAGATATAACTAATGATAAAAATAAAAATGTTGCTACAATAATGCAACTTATTAAAATATTTGTCAAGTAATAAAGCTATGGGAAATTGTGGTTATATTTCTGCTCCAGCATGCACCTCCCACTTTAATGAAACACTCCTTAAAGATAAACTCCCTGATTTTTTTTTTTTTTTGAAGTAGCCAACAGCATCTAGTTCAGAAATGTCCTCTTAGTTCACAGTTGAAGTTTTGAAACTCAACAGTCAGCTTGGAGGAAGTTTAGAGGTACTATTGGTGCTGTGACAAAATCAGAAGTGTACCTTTAACACAATCACTATGTAACATGAGGACCAGATTGTGGTTTTCTCTGAAATTACTACATGACATCTACTTCTTGCTCAGTGTTTTGTTTCCCACGTCAACTTGAATTAATATTATTTTCTCTCTAACGGAAAAGATAACTTGGCACCCTGAAAGACTGTTTTTTTTTTTTGCTGTTCCTCTCACTTGCGAGTGCCTTTCTGTCTGTTTGTCCATCTGTCCTTCTACCCACTCACGAGCGCCTCGCCTGGCCACCTCCAGTCCCGTCGCGGCACCAATTAATCTACCAAAACACATGAACACACCCGTTAGTTTTGACTACAAGATTTGTCAATTCACGTCCCAGTTTCTGGTACAGTTGAAGGGTATTCCGCTACAACACAGAAAGCAATCAAAACCTTTCAGGACATTTTTGTAATATGTGTTTACCTCTGTTGAAATAGAAATCATACTGAAGCCCTGAAAGGCAAGTGAGAAAAAAAAATTCTGGCGATCCATTTTCTAATATATGTTTGCTCTTCCGAGTAAAAAATGGTTTGCCAGGATAATTTTCCAGAAAGTACTCTTTTTTTTTTATCTTTGAAAACAGTTAGAAATGTTTTTTCTTTAGTTGTAATACAAATTTTGGCCACAAGAGTGTGTGTGTGGATGGGTGAGTGTGGCATGTAGTGTACAGTGGTTTGAGGTGGTTGGAAGACTAGAAAGGTGCTATATAAGTACAGTCCATTTACCATCCTGTATATGTGAAAGCATAAGTAATACATGCATTGTTATTACATTAGATGCATAGGAAGCTAGTTTGGTTAGCTGGCAAATTGCCCTGAAAGCAAACCCAAAATAAATTTGTAAGATGTATGTGCTACACATACCTATACATGTTTGATGCCAGATGAGTCATTTCCTGAATCTCTACAAGGAGGTGGCGAGTGTAAAGTTGTCAGCTACATTATGAGAGTAAATAACCCAAGTTGATACCGTATCGGAATTTCACTATAACGTAAGTACGGAATGACAACATGTTAAGTTTGGACTTAATTCCTATTTGCTTACATACTGTATGTAAAACGTTTTGGATTTTATAACTGAAAATGTTGAAAGTGACAAATGTGATCTGACCTTGTCAGATTGTTGTTGTGGCTGTTGTGAGGTGCATGTCTGAAAGGGGCAAGTCAAAGTCAGTGATTATTCTGAGGATGAGGAGGTCACCTTTTTTGCATTTTCAACTATTTGTACTTATTTGGAATGGTAAGTTTCACGGGCACTATGGTCATATTCAAAACAGCTGTCAGTATAACGCAACACAGTTAAACAGCAGCATAAGCTGCAGCCTCCAAAATTATCATACAGTTGAATCGACCCCTCTCTGAAGTGGTTTCAACAAAACTGAACATTCAGAACCTAAATTAAGGCGGACTGTTGTATCAGACGTCGTTAGTTTTAGCTAGGTGGATATAAAAAAACTGGACAATGTATTGCTAATGTGGAATCTGCTGGTATTTGATGGTCAAACCAATGCTTATATTGGGGAAAGCAGTCTTAACTGTTGTCTTTCCGTTATCATGCCTATAAGTTGTCGTAGGAGAGCTAGCTATTGCTGACAGTTAGCACTTCTGGATGCTCACAGGAGGAAACTCGTTCTCGTCGTCCAGGCATACAGGTCCAGCAGCAAACTCATGTTCTGGAATGACTTCGCCTTTCTTTGCCCCGCCGTCCTCAGAGTAGCCTGGGTAGAAACAGGAGAAGGAGGCCGGCCGTTTATTAGAGCATGGACAACAGCTCCTTACAGTGGGCCTGATTGTCGGGTTGTCCATTACATTAAGTTGTCAAAGCTCCTCCGCAAATCACCTAAGTGAAAACTGTACTTATATACTGTTTATTAGCACTTCTTTGTCTTTGTCAACTGGTATTTCTAAAATGGCTAATGGCTAACTAATGGCTAGAGCCTGGTTTTCTGACTTGTTGTACTGGAACGCAGTCAACTTGGGTGTGATGTCATTCCCAGTTCCGACTTCACACTTCCGAGGTAAATGTGCAATGTGAAAAGCCCCAAAAGCCCCACAGATTTGGTGGGTAGATGGATTGCTTTATAGAACAATAGACCTTTCTCACCGCAGCCATTTTGACATGAAATAGTAGATACTAATACAGGTTCCGTTCCATTTAGTGTAGCTGAGCCTTTTCAGTGAGCCAACATGCATAGTGGCAGCACCCTAACTCTGTTTGACCTTAATGGAATAGAACCTTAATTAGTATCACTGGTAACACCCTACTATTTCATGTCAAGACACACCAATGAACATTGACTGGTAGTGGTCTTCATGGGTTCAAACCTACCCAATCCCATAAATCATGCATAAATCAACTGACCCAATCTGAAACAGGCCCAAGGACATTCAGACAGTCCAAACTGACCTGAGGGTGATTAGACTCAATATAAGAAGCATCAGGTCTATGTTGTTCAGCACAAAAATTGCAATCCTCCTTGAATTAAGCTATTGCAGTCATAAAGAGTAAAATAAAAAGCCACATAGACGTCTGCGACTACTAACCAGTGAGAGTTGCAGTGACGGGACCAGAGGCTGGTAAGGCAGCGGTTGCAGCATAGGATGGACAAGCCTGTGCTGGCCCTGTGACCTCTGACCCCTCTGACTCTGTTTCTTCAACATGGTCATCATCAACACCAAAAAGCCTAAGAAAGGAAGAGTAGGAAGAAAGCAAGACCAGAAGAGAAAAGGCAGTAAATAAACTTTACTCTTGACCTGCAACTATACAACTCTCTCTAATCCATCACAGTGTTGCCAGAGCTGCCAGTGTATGATGAAGAGATAAAACTGGTTTCAGTTCAGCAGTTCAGGAGTAAAGCTTTGATTGCCCCCCACCAAAAAAAAAAGTTACTACGTGACGTCATATCCGTTTAAAAAAAAACAAAGTGGATGCGTGAAAGCAAAAAATGGCCAACGGCCCGGGAGCCACAGGGATACGACCTGCCCCCTCACCTTTTAAATCCAAAGTATGGAAACCCTTTGAGTTTTACACATTACCAGGAAATGGTAATAGACATGACTAAATCTGTGTGCAAACCTGTCATTGACAGGTATCGTATGGTGTTAATGCGAACAACATGAGTGCCCATCTTGCTTGACACCAAAAAATGGAGGCAATTTTCAAATCAGAGTGCCATCTAATGCTTAAAATCCACCCCACCCCTGTGAAATTAGCGGTAGCCTCACCTGTGCTTGTGGGACAACATACACTCGCCTCCATCTAGTGGATCCACGTTGTAGATGAAAAGCTGGCCGTCAGCGGTGGCCACCAGCAGCCGCGGAAGCTTCTGGATCCTGAAAAGTCAGAGCCATTCACTTTGGTCCAACCCAAAAATGAGAGTCTCAAACTGCTCACAATCTCTTCTAAAGGTCTAAAAACACACAGAATTACTGACTTAATGACTGTAATATAAAGGCACGACCCCTGATTCCTAAAGACCACAGAAAAAGCTCACATAGCCAGGGTGCAGACGTTCTTCTGGCCGGACGTGAGGAGGTGAACAGTGGCGAAGGCGCGGTCCTGGCTCATCATGCCGGATACCTGAGCAGGGAAGTAGCTGCTGGCTGCTGTGAACATCTTGCCCACGTAGGATGTCCAGGTAGCAGCCTCGTCCCCTCCACTACAGACAAGGCAACAAGCCTTCTTTAGAATGGGTTCTTCCTACAACTTGGTTTATACTTTGGTGAGTACAAAGTTATCAAAACTGATAGAACCAGAGGCCAGACATACAAAAAAATTAGGTTGTAATAACTTATAGTTTTCATAGCGAATCTGCCTCAATTTAATATTTTCTATTGTTACCACAGTTGTGCTAGCTGGTTAGCTAGCTAACTGTTGGTAAGCTAACATTACCCAAGCAAGCATTGCTACTAATTTCTCAATGTTACCAACCTCAAAAGTAAGATTAAAGTTTTGAACAAAACTTTTTTTTGTAAGAAACTAGTAGCTATAGTTGTTTTGGTAATGTTAGCTCACTAACAGCTAGCTAGCTTAATGCTACGTTCAGAACATGTATGTGTTACACAGCAAATAAATATATAGCTGGCTGGCCAGAAGGTGCTCCCACCTCCAGCGAAGTGAACCTGTCCTTGCCAAGAGCTGTTTTTTTGTAATGCAAAGGATAAGTTCGAGATTAGGCACCAGCTCCGAATCAGCCCTCACAGTCTTGGTAGAAAAGGGGTATATATGACGGCTGTGGCGAAGAGGCAGAGCAGGTCGTCCCCTAATCGGAAGGTTGTTGGTTCGATCCCCGGCTCCACATGTCGAAGTATCCTTGAGCAAGACACTGAACCCCAAATTGCTCTGGTGTGTGAATGTGTATGAATGCATTAGTTTCTGTTTGATGGGCTTTGCCATCGCTGTGTGTGTGAAAGGGCGAATGTGGCATGTAGTGTAAAAGCTAGGCAGAAGACTAGAAAGGCACTATACAAGTACAGGTCCATTAAGCATTTACAGGTCCATCCAGAAACAAACAAGACCATCAGTGAGAAGATTAGACATTTCTATATAGTTAATGCTTGCGTGGGTCGGATTCTCCTTGAAACCAATGAAACAAGGCAGTAGAAACACTACTGCTTTTGTCCACAGGTGCTGAATAAAAAATCCTTGTAGGAGCTTTAAATATAGCACCCAACAGGGAATAGGTTTGCAGGTTCTTGTCAAATGGTTAAATGAACTCGTCGTGTTTTTAATGTGTGTGTGTGTGTGTGTGTGTGTGTGTATCTACCTTGGTCCCAGTTGCTCCAGTTTAAAGATATGCACCGTCTCTGTGTTGCTGGATGCACAGAGGAACTGGCCATCAGGGCTGAAGGATAAAGAGCTTATGTTGACGTACCTGCAGATAGACAGACAAACATAAACACACAAAAACAAGCAAAAACACTTAACTTCGACTTTTAGAAGGCTATTTGCTGAAACCAGTCTGCTCATCTCTTGAGGATGTCATCCAACACAGATAAAGTGCAATTTAATAGCTATGAATCAGTCATCAGTGTGTAATAATGTTGTTTGACGCATTAGTGCATGCCTGCCAATGTGCCTGCAGAAATGACTCCATATGTATTTGATATCATGATCTGGGTCAGTGGTTCTCAACCTTTTTGGTGTCAAGGACCTGATACACATAGGGCTGCAGACTCGTATTTGATAAATCTGATCTGTACTGTAGATTGGCAGATTAACAATGAAGGATGTGAAATCTATTATCTCATTGGGATAACTTCTAGTCAATGAAATAATAGTACATTTAAAGTATTTCCCTTTTTCTAGGGAACCCATGAACGACCCCAAAACATAGGCTCATCTAAGTTCTTTAGTGAGGTTTAGGTCTCATATATTGGACTGTGTATTTCTTTTATGGAAATACGATCTTATACGATGTGTTTGAACTTTGACCTCTTCATGCCTCTGCGGAACTCAAACAGACGCTGGCCCTCAGGGATGGAGAACACTCGGATGACGGTGCCCTGTAAAGACAGACAGACAGACTTTACAATGACTCCCTTCACATGCAAAAACAATTATAGAAATATTTCTGTTAGGATCTTGGTGGTGTACAGTGGTGGTGTACAGTGGTGGTGTAGTGCTTCCCATGCCCCTGTGAGCTCATCTGACAACCTAAAGGAGGTCACAGGTCACTACCATCTCGGCAAGTAGTTAAATCATGTTCCCTCCCTGACTGTTTGGCTGACTAGGCAGAGCTGCTCATAAGGTTGAACACTTAGCATCAGCATATCGTAGTTCCACTTTGTAACAGAAGACCAAGGTTGAGACAAATCTAACAGACATATAGACTGCCTCATCCTTAGAATGCTTGACTACAAGTGGTATTCAATTCAGTTCAATTCAGTTTTATTTGTATAGTGGCAATTTATAACAGAAGTTATCTCAGAACACTTTTTAAATAGAGTAGGTTCTAGACCGGGAACGTCCCTTAATAAAAAGACGCCAAAAGTTCCCCAACCAATGACAGACTTGGAGACGGGCAGCAAGCGAAAAACTTCCTTTTAAGATGCAGAAAACTTGGACAGAACCCCCAGCTCTAGGGTGATTGGCCGCCTGCCTCCCCCCGACCAAGATTAGAGAGAGAAGAGAGAGAAGAGAGAGAGAGGAGAGAGAAGAGAGAGAGAGGGTAGTACGGTGTGAAGGTGTGGGTGGCATAGAATAGAATAGGTAGGCTTAGTTCCTTGTTTTCAATTAATGTCCAACTGGATCTAAACACATTTAGTTTTGGAAGTCATGACCTTATTTGGGACATTAATAGATCTTTTGGTTCTAAGTTTTTAAGATGGACAAGAAATGGGGAGAGAGAGGGGATGACATGCAGCAAAGGGCCCCAGGTTGTACTGGAACCTATGGCCACTGAAGCAAGGACTCAACCTTGGTACAACCATGGCCAGCTCCACCAGGTAAGCTCAACTAAAAAAAAATCTAACTTGTTAAATTCAGCAACTTTACCACAGGTTGTGACAAGAATTAACCAATCAGGAATTGCTGCACCTTTTCCATACAAGGACAACATCAGGTTGAAAGGTCACCCAAGGTCAGCTGGAAGTCAGGGTTGGGGGGCTCAGAGAAAGTGTGTCTATATATAATGACGTCATGCTAAATGCTAAGTGCATGACATTCATGGTGTGTGCATTCATTTGAATGATCAGGATAATGGTCTATTTAATGGTAATTAATAAAATTTAACACAATTTTCACAACCTTTTAACAGATAAAACTAATAAAAAACAAGGCAGAACCTCTTTTCTTGCCATAAATACCAGCAACATATGCCAGATTGCTGCACCCCTACTTCCAGTGCTCATGGTCCAGGGATACTCAGAGCCTTCCAAGTTTATTTTATTTCAGAACTTGGGATAACTGGTGAGCATGATGATGAATTTTTACGTTACTAACTAGGTGTGCTAGTTAATGTTAGCTAATTTTGTTTGTTTGTGAAGGATTTGTGAGTCACAGAAATCACAACTCATATTAGACTTTATCCTAGGGGACCTTGAAAATCCAGAGCAAATTCAATGGAGTTTGCTTTTGAGCTCCCTGGCCATGGATAAGAGTGCTCGTCAGAGAAACACTAATGGCTTCTGGATTCATTCTCTGGAGACCATGAACATACACACCAGGACCACCAAGTGTTGGATGGACTTCCACTCTTTGGAGCTAAATGTACAGTTTGTCTATCTGAGGGGGTCTGAGACTGTTCCTTACCCTCTCTGAGGCGCTGGCGAGTTTGGTGGCCGAGGTGTTGAAGGTGAGAGCTGCCAGAGGACTGTCATGAGCCGGGATCATTGTCACTGTGTTCTGAAACAACCAAGAGTATGATACAGAAAGAGTTATTCCACACTGATATCGTCAGACTAGCTGCAGTTCCATCTTGCTGCAATGTGGTTATTTCCACAAAGAAAGTAAGTCAAATCTAGAAATTCTAAAATGAATGTATCTACTAACAAGTATTCTGTGTGTATTAAAGCCTAATATATCTTCTTTCTTTGTGCCAGAGAGCTTCACTGTTGTCCAATGAGCTAAATGGTAAATGGACTGTACTTATATAGCGCCTTTCTAGTCTTTTGATCACTCACTCAATGCACTGTACACTACATGCCACACTCCACCCCATTCACACACATTCATATACTGATGGCAGTGGCTGCCATGCAACTGAACAGAAACTAATGTGTGAATGCAATTTGGGGTTCTTGCTCAAGGACACTTTGACATGCAACGAGAGGGGAGACGGGGATCGAACCAACAACCTTCCGATTAGCAGGCAACCCGCTCTACCTCTGAGCCACAGCCGCTACACTGTTAAATTGTTCCTTCATTACCATGAACAGACACACTGTAAAGTAGTATTTTGAATCCTGCTGTCTCAAATACATTTTTCATTAATGTTCATTGAAATATGTTTTTAGCCAAGTACCCCGGACCAAAGCAAAGCATTTTTTGCAGAAAAAAGGAAAAGCTACAATACAGCGTTGCACCATCATTATGTGATTCAGTAAGAAAGACACTTAAATGCAACATTTGAAAAATTCACATTTTATAATTATTGCCTACATGTAATAATTATATGTATTTGTATTATGTATATTTCAGTCAGCCAACTCATGTTGGAAATGTTTAAGCAGTATAGCATATTTAGATTTTGGCATCTAGGCTCATCACTCCCCACAGATATGTTATGTTTACATGAGATACTGGGAGTGAATGAGCAAATTACATAACCCCAGTCGGAGCTACAGGTTAAGCTGGGGTGGTGTGGGCTGTACCAACAGCCGCATTGACAGAGCAGAGGGAGAGCCGGGAAATTGGTGCAGTTTAAATAGACCGCAGATTGGAAGGGAGCGCTTGGTTAGTGATTATGGAATAAGGGCATATCATGGTGTTAATCAACGCAGCTCGAGTTGACCTGCCTGAACTACTCGCAGGCTTCACTCCATATTACATAAATTTTTTTATTTGATTTTTTTGTGTATTATTGCATTTATTTACCTTTACTTAATTTATTTTTGATTTTGGCAGTTGCAGTACTTCCAGCAAGACTGTTTAAAATGTAGACATTAAATCTGCCTGTGAAGTCGGATTGTTTATTTATTTATTATATTAGTTTATTTAATCCTGT